GATGTACTATAGCTTGTTTTGAAGCCAGAGATGAGCTCTACAAATTCAATTATAAGGTATTAGTATATTATTAAGCCTAGTTTTCCAGAAAGGGCAAAACTTTGGGGAGAGAACAGAGTTTTGTCCGTCTGTTCTTGTAAATTGAATATCTTAAGAATGATGAGAGATACAGACTTGAAAATTTACAGGTATATATAAAAACAGTAGCTAAATAAATATTATTAAGAGTCAAGAGGTTGTTAACTTAATAAACTTTTCCGTAAATTGAGAAAAACGTGAAAATTATTGTGACGAAATTTTGTGTACAAATGATAAGCAGAAAGAGTTGTTTTATAACAAAAATTGTAAAGCTCATTAAGATACATCTATTATTAGTAAAAATATTAAAATCGGTTTGGTAGTTTTTGAGAAATATTAAAAAACTTCTTTCTTTTTTTTTTGTAGTCAAGGTTAGCCTCTTTGGCTTCCCGCTTTTATTAGATACTAGGATCATATAATGTTCTTTTTAAGGGGACCCCAGACAAGTATATTCTAACGAGGATACATTCTAGCCATATCTGCGCCTTTTGAGTGCTTAATTAAGTATCTACCTATTACTAGGTTCTACACTAGATGCTGTACTTATAACCCACTATTATTTGAGTTACCCAATTAAACCCTCTGATCCAAATTTCCCTACCAATCCATCTAATCTCACCCGGAACATATGATACATAAGTCAGTTCAAGTTCTAAGATCATTATGCGCCACCTTTAGAACTACCAGTATGATTAACTGATTCATCCTCAAGTGCATCATCTGCTAGAGCATTTCGGTCCCATTATACCATATTACCTAGTCTATTTCAGTAACTTACGGCTAGGCCGAGACCAAGTACTTGCAAGCTGAAGCTACTACCGTTACCTACTATGCCCTTATAGAGTTTATTCAGACTCCAGCATCTACTATATAGACTATCCGCCATATACCCATCGCTCCAAACTTCTAATCCAGATGGCCCGAAAGGGCTGTAACCTGCTTCTGATCCCACAGTTAGGTCCTTTTCCTCCAGTACTCTCCGGCGGCCTGGTTGGTATAGTGCCTTGCCAAACACTTCGGTCCTGTTTGGTTCTCCAGTTTTCTGGTTGATAATCCTTTACGTAATACTGTTAAAGATCTGTGCTACCTCTCTACTTAGGTCTTGCTAAGCGGACTTTCATGTGCATTAACCTCAGATTTACACAACTTCTTCACTTAGGTTTGTATAACTTGTATATTACACTATTGTTCCACAATCTCCCAGTACAAGCTGGTGTGACCTAATTACAGATATCGATCCACTCTTATACTCACAGTTGCTGTAACACTATACTAAGAATTTGAATTTTCGTCGCCAGTAGGATTCGAACTCTGTTCTTGCCACTTGGGAGTGCAACAACTTCATCACTTTACTAAGTTGCCACACTCTAAAAACTTCTTTCTTATATATAAAATTTCTTTAAAAAAATTGATTTTTTTTAAAGAAATTTTATATATAAAAAAGAAGGGTTTTAAGATTTCTCAAGAACCACCAGACCAATTTTAATGTTCTTACTACCATTAGATGCATTTTAATAAGCTTTACAACTTTTGTTACAAGCCCAAGAGTGATTTACTTAGTAAAAAAAAGTTTTAAATATGTAGAAGCGCTGCATATTTGGGCTTATAATAAAATTTATATATAAAAAAAAAATTTGTTTAGATGATTTGTGATTTGTTTATTAATAAAAAATCTTGATTTGGTATAATATTATATAATTAAAACAAACATCTATTTAAAAAAACTGCTTTTATCTCAAAAATTTGCTTAAAAAAAATTCTTTATATACTAACAAAAAAAATTTCTCTTAATTTTAAACCTTAGTTTAAATGCTAACCCTCTACTATGACATTATATTAAAAAAAAATAAAATAAAATAAAAAATAAAAAATGCTAAACAATTTTATCAATTATCATGTAACCTTGTTGGCGACTATTGGGACGGCCCCTCCTGGATCCCTAGCTCACCCACAAAAAATTGTTCACCCCTGTAATTTTGGCCAATAGAATTTCAGGATCAGGTGTAATACAAAAATCGAAACGAACCCACTTTCTTACGAAAAAAACAAGAATAACTCTAAATTTTAATTAGGAAACCACCTTCTGCGGCCTAATTAAGAATGTTCCTCGTGATGTTTTACTAACAGGCGTTATACTGTTCTATCCTAACCCTAACTATGACACGGTTTTCTTGGGTTCATTTTACACGTAACTTTTTTACTTAGAAAACAAAACACGTTTGTTTTGACACCTGATCTTAAATTTTGATTGGTCAAAATTCCTGGATCCCTGTCCTGGACCCTGCTGTATCGTTATCGATTGAGCCAATTACATGAAAGTTTCATGAAAGTTTAAAATTTCTAAATTGGTTTATAAATGATTTGATTGGCTATCAGACGTGTCCATCTGCAAGTATTTATAAACTTTCTTCACATCTTTCAAATTCTCGGAACGCGTCATGGATTTCTTTCAAAACGCTAATCTACAACAAACTTCGAATAACCCGTTGCGGGAAACATCAAACAAAGCAACACCTGTGCTAGAATTGCTAAAGGGTGAAATGACTATGGACGATTATCTTAATGGTAATCAAAAGACAATTCGTAAGGTGAAGTGTTAATAACGTTTTCCTTAAAAGAAGAAACCTTTGCATGTATACATACAGTTAACGCTCTTTACAATCCCTAAAGAATTTGAGTTTACAGAGAAAAGAGGGATTATAAGGAGAGAGTTGGCTGTAATGAATAATTTTATAACATTTAATTTATGTATGACACCTAAAAAAAAATCATATAGCGAAGACAACAGGAAAGAGAACAAGATGAAAATTTTGAACCCGTTATTAATAACACGAAAGACGAAATCAAACTTAAACCTAAAGATTCAAATAGAAAACCATTGTATACATATGCTTCATTGATTGGACAAGCAATTCTTCAAGCTCCAAATAGAAGGCTACCTTTAAATGAAATTTATGAATGGATAATGGCTACATATCCATTTTATAAAAAAGAAAATAAAGGATGGCAGGTATGTAGTGGCTAAAGTAATCGATATTTACAAATGAAATCATTTGCTTATATTATTATGCGGGATAGAATTCAATTCGACACAATTTAACACTTTGCCCGGCGTTTCGTAAAGTTGAAAGAGAAAGTGGGCATCCTGCAAAAGGATCCTACTGGACTATCCCAGATGAATTTATGTGCTGCTTTGTTAATGGCGCTTACAAAAATGAAAGAATGCCAACGAACAATAAAAAGAAAAAAAAGTCGAAGACCGGCGATAAAGATGTGTCGAGCGAATGCTCAATATCTGGCGCACCGGTGTCTAAGGTTAAAAATCGAAATACGACGACTCCTAGTAAAGTAAAAGTGTCGGATGAGAAATATGAGGGACAACAACAGTATGCAAACAATGACTCAAATGAGTATTCAAATATCCAAGATACTATAATGAACAGTAATCAATCCTTCGATGACGATTCAAATTTTCGAGATACTTTTATGTTCAGTATACAACCAGTTGATGTGTATAATCATCAAATTATCGACATTTTTCAATATGCAGGTGGATTGACTGAAATGGGCAACCAAACTTCTGACATAGATGATTTTAACAATGATCATAACTTCAATGATACGCTATCAGCTTCAAGCAAGACATTCTACGGACTTGACCATTGTCAAACTAATATTGATAACGTAAACCCCGATCCGGATGGTTTGCGCTACTTTTACGCGATGAAATGTAATGTAAAGCAAGAATGCGAAAGATATGTTAATATGCGCGAAGTCGAGTTTCAGGATTTGGACGCAGTGTATAATACAAGAAACTAGTCGATAAAAACGTTTTAAGCTTAGCCGGCTCGATAATTTTTGATACGGCCAAACCGGCTTAGTATGTTATTAATCAAAATTTGAACCTGTCAATAATAGATTGTAGTCCGCTGGCCACGTTCGTATTTTATGTTTTATTTACGTAAATAAAAAATAGAATGCCGTTGTACAATGTTTCGATGTAAAAAAAAAATGTTATTTGTTATGTAACGTTTCTAAGAATAGATACAACTAATGTTAACGAACCATTTATAAGCTACCAACTAGTGATACGAATCGAAACAAATATTGTAATCAATTAGTTGGTTGAAAATTTTTTAAAAAATCGGTTACAAATAGATTATTGCTAACTAATCGATTAGTTGTTTAGTTGATCTAATTTTAATAATAATACTGAATATAAATCTGATAAAAATTTGATTAAAAAACCATATGGGCGGATTTTTTTGTAAAACTTTCAAAAACGATCTAATTCTGGTTAAATTTGCAGATCATTTGGCCCTGGCTTATCAATTTTAAAACTGATAAACCAGGGCCAAATGATCTGCAAATTTGACCAGAATTATACCGTTTTTGAAAGTTTCACAAAAAAATCCGCCTATATGACTAATTAAAATAAGGCCAATTAACTGATTAATTGATTAATTGATTAATAGTTAATTGATTAATTGATTAATAGTTAATCAATTAATCAATTGGTTGGGTCAAAATTGTTAATCAATTAGTTTTCAATTTAGCCAACTAACTGATTAATCAATTTTTGATTCATATTACTACTACTAATGTTGAGTTGGCTGAGCTGTTACTTTAAACAAAATTTAAAATTTATAATTACTGTTGCAGATGATCAAAAATCCTATTGGCTAATTATCCTAACTTTAACTAATCAGATGTGTTAATTGTATATTAATTCTGAATTTTAGCATTATTTATGACAATGATTGACTTGAATTGCAAATAAATGATAGATTAGATGGGTTAAATCCAGTCTTTTAACTGTATTGTTATAGAATGAGTTGTAGTATTAGTTTTATTATTAAGTTTATTATTAGTTATTATTAGTATATTATTAGT